CCCCGGCGGTGACCTCAGCGCCGCTGGGCGGGCGCGCCCCGATGGAAACCTGCGTTTCCCGCGGCCCCTCGTTGTTTGTTTATTTCCCAACGCCCCCGGGGTTTGTAAATACCAGGCGGGGCTTCCCGCGCTGCGCGGGCGGGGCGCCGGGGAAGTAAGGCAAGGCAAAGCAAAGCAAAGCCAAGCCAAAATACAGCGCTTTTGCAGACGGAGCGGTAACTCACGGGCTGTTAGAGCCGGTTCTTCCTAAACCCGGCCTGGAAAGCTGTGCGCTTGACCGTGTTCATAAGGATGCACGAAGAAAGCAGCGCTTAGGGAGACTTACATCCTTGCTAGCTCTTGCCATCAAATATTTTAACGAAGTGGTATATCGGTGATGACCACAAATGAAAAAAAGAAAAAAAGTTGCTTAAAAAAACCCAAATAACGATTCATGTCTGTTGGGAAAGACTCAAGGATATCTTCTCTGTAGTGCGTTTCTAATTAAAATAAGTTTTATATGTATTGCATTGTTTTCGGTCAGGGTAAATGAACGTGCATAATCTCTGAACTTGTTAGGCTTGTATGTTTTAAGGTTGTGTGGAGTTTGGGAATTTACTTCAGATTGGAATGTTCTTCAAAAACTCTGCTGAAGTGGTCATAATGAATTCTGCCTGTATTTTCAAGGGCCTGGGCTTCAGCCCCCCCGCACACTCCCGTAACGACTGGATCGGGCCCCCCGACAAGCACTCCAACCTGCGGCCGGTCATCTTCTACGTGCCCCCTGAGGAGTCGCCCCTGGAGCGGCGGCTGCGGGAGGCGCGGCAGGAGGCCCAGGCCTGCGACCAGCGCTTCTGGGCACGGCACAACCGCGCCTTCTGCCAGGTGAGCCTGCCGTGATGCCCGGCGCCACTCAGCTCTTGCCCACCCACCCCAAATCCAGGGGTTTGGTCTCCATGAGGTAGAGTCTGGTTCTGCCCACCGTTACAGGCTGGTAGTTGATACCATTTGTTTTAATGCACATGGTGTCTTCATGGAAATTACTTTTTTGTCATTCATCTCTTCAAAGTGACATACAAAACTAAAGACCCTGTGTATTTTATCACTGTTTAGTGGCATATAACGATACTTGCCTTTTTCCTGTCTTGCACTGAAAATATAAAGTTGCAGCAACCCTACTTGCAAGATCTCTCTGTGACGAGAGCGGCTGTTAAAAATGATTCTGCAGCTCTTCCTGCTCTGTTGTAAGTGAGAGAATTCGCGTATAATCACCAAGGGTGAATGAGGGACATGCCCTGTTTCACTGGCAGTCTATTCCAACAAGGCTGAAAGTCAGAACTTTTCAGTCATGGTCTGTCTGTTTTCCTGATTGCTGTGTTGGCTAGGAGACACTGAATTTTGTTGGAAGAATGGTAACAGTTCAGTCATTCACCATCACTTGTGATGATCTTTGATCATCATATCCTTCCAAAACTTGCAAAGACATCAGAGAAAAAACAAAGCTTGTTTTTTAATTCCATAGAACTGCTGCTTAAATTTGAAAAAACTTACGTACAAATAATTATTCTGTTTCTACCAAAGTAACTTCAATTTTCTTAAGGCTGCATGTTTTTCTCTATGCTCAAATTCTCAGTTATACAGTACAGCAAATCTTCACAGTTTGTCTTATAAACTTCAGGTTTGGATCCTGTCAGACAGTGCTGAAACTTAGCTGTAATTTTACTCCACAAATAAGTTGCGTATGTTTCAGTAGAAACCTTGCACGAATTACTTCATGCGGGCAGGTTGCAGGACCTAAGTGACAAAGCTACCGGTATAACTAACTCACTGGATTCAGGAAAATGTTTTGTTGACATTTCCCAGTAGAATGAGTATTGCTTGTTCCTTCAGAGGGTATTAAACACTACACTGCTATGTGATTAAAAACAATGGTTAATTTCAAGGACTGAGTACATCAGATTCTAATGTGGAAAAACATGTTTTAGGAAAAAGAAGAATTTATTTATTCGAGACTGAAAGCCAAGGGTCTGGAAATGAGAGATGAAACAGGTTAGTGAGATCTTTGTTTATAGTTTAGGATGCATTCTGAATCCTGTTTGAATTTTGTTAGTTTATGCTCTTTCTTTTCTGTCACAAGTAAATCTCGAGGGTAGGATTTAGAAGCGTTTTCAGGAGCATGATAAAAAAAGAGGGGAGGAGCTCTTCAGAGATGTGCATGTGGGGGTCAGATCACCTGTTGCACTGTTCTTCCCCTAATTCCTTCCCTGCAGCTGGAGGGAATGTGCTGAAATCCTAGCCAAGTAATCTAATCATGCTGTAGTCTTAAGGAGGAGGGGGCTTCTTCCTTTTACACCTCCTAACCCAGCGAGCTAGCTGAGCTCAACATATAGAGCATTTGCCTCAAGTTCATGTTACGGTTGGGTGGATACATTCACGCTCTTTGGCTTCAGGTCCATAGCGTATACAATGAATACAGTATTTTTCCTTGAGGGAGAATAAGACGGCTTCTGAGGAGACAGCAGCTGTTATCTGCCTGTCTTTGCCTGAGCACAGTTGCTGTAAACTAGTTTGCCTCTAATTCATTATGTGAAACTGAAAACAAGATGCCTTCATAATAACAGTGAATTGGCCATTGTAGTACGAGGTTGAACATTTTGTTCGTAGAATAATGATCTGTTTGAGTTCAGTAAAGCGTCCGCTCTGATGTTCTGTATATCACAGATGATTATTTTTCTTCTTTGTATCCTGGTGATCAGTGTGTGGTTGAGAAATTATTTTAATTAAGTTCTGTGTTGTTTAGAAAATGCTTCTTTTATACTGGCATTTTGGGTTTGTTTTGGTTGTTTTGTTTTGTTTTCACACCCTAGAAATAAAAAACAGTAAGCATGTACAACCCTTAGAAATAAATTTGTATTGGCTGCATGTGTTGATTAACTCTGTTCTATAATACAGCTGTGTGTGTATATAAAAATAAGAGTAATAACAATATACATGAGCAGTTGGAATAAACCTTATTTTCTTATATAAGTGAATCTATGATCAGTTCTGCTGCTACCAGTAGGAAGAAGCAAATTAACTACAGGTGTTAAGTAGGGAGCTTTCAAGTAGTCTTAGAGTAAATTTATTCCATAGTATGTTAAGCCATTGTAATACATTAGATTTGTAAATAACGACAAGTAGAACTGATCAGTAATTTACATTTCTGTGATCAGTCTCAGGAGCTTTAAAATACGTTTTGGAACAGTAACAAGTTGAATATCACAGATCCATCTCCCTCATCATATCTGTGTCCCCTGGGACATTCAAATTTGACCCTCATTTTAGAAACATTGGAAGTGCCAGAAAGTTTGTATAGAAATTATCTGGTAGAGTTTAGAATATTTGCTGGTTCTCAGGATTCTACAGCTGTGCTGTAGCCACAGGTTTTCCTTTCTTGTTCTGTGGAGAGAATCCATCTCCTCTTACGTTCTGCTTATAAGAGGGGCGTATTCAAAGTCATGTTTTGTACTTGCTTCTTCACAAAATGGTTGTCTAGTATATCATTAATCTGACGTCTCAGAACATACACTCTTTGATATAAGTTACTTGTAATTTATCAGCAGCAACTGAAAAATATTTACATCTGAAAATACAATGTCAATCCTGGATAGTGTTCTTTCTATATTTATTGAATTGCTTTAGGGGAGAAATTTAAGTTACTAAGTGCTCTTACTGATGCTGTTTAGGCTTCAGGCCCATGAGCAATTAATTTCACTCAAAGGATAGATACTCCTAGATCTATGAACTTTTTCATAGGGGTCCACTAGTTCCCTAAATAATTTAAGACCTGATAAACAAAATCACTTTCACAAGTAATAAGGGCATAGGAGTTATGCCAGCTTGAAGATGATCAGTATTTTTCATCTGCTCTCTAGATAAGTTTTTAAAAAGTTGGAAGATAAAAGCATGTTAACTTGGTCAGGGTTACACAGGAAGTTTGTAGGAGCAAGGAGTCAGACCTAGCTCTCCTGCATCTGAAACCAGTGTTTTAATCCAAAGAATTATCTTGACATTGTTATGCCAAAACTTATTTTCAGGTCAAAAAGCAACACTGAATGCAGAAGAAATGGCTGACTTTTACAAGGACTTTCTAAGTAAAAATTTTAGAAAGCATATGCAGTACAACAGGTATGTGGAAGGTATTTATGTTTGCTATTATACGTTACTGTTCTAAGTGAAAGGCATAGGATCAGATTTAAAACTTGAACTTTTTTTCTGTAAGTGGTAAAACAGCACCTAAAACTATCATTTTAGAAAACTTTTTTAAATGCTATTATTAGCATTTGACAGAAACTTGCATTATCATTTGAGTTCTACTGCTTATTGTTCATTTAGTGGAGAGATGAATCTCATGTCTGAGATTGAGAGACAAGATCAGGCACTCAGTTTTTTCTCTTATGGCAAGGGTCTTTTCATGCTGCTAATTGAAACTGATAAACATGAATAAAACAGTTGAAATTTCTAAACAGATTCTAGTTGACTGTTAAACAAGGACTAGTAAATGTGATTAATCTCAAAGGAAAATTGTTTAATGAGAATAATATTTAGTATTCTTGGGTTTATTATTTTGCAAGCATGTAGTAAAAATGAAAGTGATTAGCCTTGAGTTTGAGGGGTTTTTGTGTGGCAAAGCATTCTTAAAATGATCACCTGAACTCATCCTGTGTAGAGCCACAGCTACAACTGGGTAAGCCCACACCACCGTGCCTCATCACAACATCTACTGCATTGTTTCAGTGTTACTGTTTGTACAGCAACTTGATAAACTGGATTGGGGATCTGAAACAACTGAAAAATTACTTGCAAACACACATTACCCTGCAAGTAGCTGTGCACACTTGCGAGAGGGCTCAAAATTAGGAAGGAGTGGGAAGCTGGTGGAGGATTGTACTTAATCCAGTTACAGTAGCACTGTCCACTGAATATGAAAGAACTTTGGTTTCTTCTCTGTATTGGATTGAAAGATAATTGGGCTCAAAGGTATGAAGCGTTACTGGGTTCCTAATGGTGTAATGCTCGTGAGAATTCTACCATCGCTATAACTGATTTATAACAAATTGTGGTTTAGGGTTCTTTGTGCATATCCTGTAACATATGATACTGTAAGAACAGTTTTACTGCAACAGATATTTAAACATGCACATCTTGTCTTGCCCATGAGGGGGGGCAAGAGGGGAGCTCACCAAAAAGCTAAGCAACAGTATGAAAAGATGGAAAGTAAAAAATTCTTTTTAGTAAGAGGATTGTTGTTCAAATTGCCTATAACTGATGAGTGAGAAAAATAGTTTATCTTAGAACTGGTCACCAGATGCCATTGTTGTTGTGACCTCGGGATAGCGTCTCATCTTTATGGTAAGAGAATTCAGGCTTTGTGCCTAAACATGACCTTCCTTGTTGCTGCCTTGTAAAATCAGGTAGTGTAAGCTACATCATTGCAGTTTCAAAGTGGAACTGCGTAGCTCTGACAGCAGTGGAGCTTTTTACAGGCATTCTGATTTTGAGGGGTCATATTTATAAAGATCTGTTTATGCATTCAGCTGTATGTTCTTTTGTAGTGTTGCCAGCTGGCCTGAAAACTGTGGCCACTGAAGTGTTGCAACTTCTAAAATTTAGTTAAAGTTGAAGTGATGACTGTGCATAGACACCATGAATATTTAGTTCAGGGTACTTAGACTGGAAATACAGTCTAGTTTAGGAAAAAAATAGTATAGGAAATGAGACATGACAGGGGAAAAGAAACAGTTGCAATGTTAGCATGATATTTTGATTTAACGTGACATTTGTGGGGGTAGCTCAGTGCTGCTTGTCAGCATGATTTTGGCTACTACCCTTACTGAGAGGTTAGTAGCTCAGGTTTATGTTAGATCTGTACATGCAAGGTTTCCCACGGAGATCTTAAGAGAAGACCTAATTCCCAGTGTTCAATATTCCCTGCTAGTTCTACAATAAGCATATTCTAGTGCTTCTTGTGCAGCATTTTACAAAATGGGGAGTGACCCTTGTTGGAAACTAGAAAGAAATTACAAAATTAGTTTGTAACGGGCAAGAATTTGAAGCAAGCTCTCAGAGGTTGATACAGACTATCTTACCTATATCTTGAATTGGCTCCAGAATTCATGCGTGCTGCATAAAAACTGTTTAAAGGTACAAACACTTGTTAAAGGCATCATCTTTAAAGGGTACTGTATTAGTGTACAAACACTTGGAAATATTAAAGGCATCATCTTTAAAGGGTACTGTATTAGAAAAGTAATGTTTCCTGTATTGGGTTATGTAATTAGTCTTTGAAGTGTCATTTTATTTTATTTTTCCCCCTTTATAGGGGACCAACTATGTCCTTTCCAACACACGCATTTTTATACATGCACAAACAAATCTTACCCATAGCACAGCACTGGCAGGAAGTTCTTCTAGATAGCTTGATGATCAGCTTTACTTCTGAAACATGAGATATGGTTACGATTATTCTGTCTTACCTGATTCCAAATACAAATACATAACACTACCCATCCCTTCACTTTTTTTTTTGCAGTTGAGCTCTCAATGGCTATAGCCCTGTAGCCTACATGTAATCTATTCATGGATGTTGATGTTCACATAGACGTTTCCATTGGTTATTTTAACTCTATAATTAGGCAGGAAAAGTGTTGCCACAAAGAAAGGAAAAGCATGTTGTCACTGAACTGTCATTTGTCAATGCCGAAGGATATTTTAATATAATAGTGTACCTTTCTCCTGTTCTTGTTCTGTGTGCTGATGATTTTCCTGGCTTTGGAATCCTAGAGATTGGTATAAACGTAACTTTACTATCACATTCCTCATGGGACAAGTAGCACTGGCGAGAGGTCTGAGGTGGCTTCGTTGGAAAAAGAAAAGCGTTGGAAATGAGTGATCACAGCTCCATGAAGAATGCAATGCTAGGTAGGCCTGCTATAAACTTGTTGTTTATAATGATGTTCAGAATCTGAATGACTGATGTAACAATTGCTTGAATCTTTGTTAAACTGTGTAAATAAAAGTAGCCATTGGTCCTAATTTCTAGTCACTATGTAGATTTCCTTTATCTTTTATTCCAAGAATATCCAAAATATTTCCCAACCAAAACACAACTGAGAAAACTACTAAAAGCTGTTCCTTTTTTATGTTAAATGGGAGGTATCACAACTGTCACGTTTTTACCACAGAGTCATAGCTCCTAACGTGATTCTGTATGCTGTACCTGAACTCCGGTCAGAGAATGGTGTCTCCACCAAGCATATTAGTATCTAAAGACAAAAATGCCTCATTTTGTGGCAGTTGTCTGTCTGGGTCAGTAGCTATCCGCAAGTAATACAGCATGGCTGAAGGAACAAGTGTGATTCGTGAGTATAGATATGATCAATTTAGAATAATCGTCTTTTCAGTGTGATTATTTCCTATTTTAATAAAGATTTAAGATAAGATTTCCTATAAATTACTAATGCAATAGTATCTTCTTGGATAATTTTGTTTTAATTAGAAGAAATGTGGCCCCCTTGCACAAGAGTTCCTTTAACCTATGATTGGTAAAGATTTTAGTTGCTGAGCAATAAAACAAATGCATTGCCAGTCACTTAATCGTAGAAAAAGAAACTGATACTTGCTTTTATGGAGGAGAACATTAGTACTAATACACACTGCTTTCTACTAGTTCATTTCTTTCAAAAAATGTACAGTTCTCACCAGTTTCACTGAGGCATTGGGAAGCACTCGCCTGAGGGGGATTTTTCTGGCCTCAGAGTATGTAACATCAATCGGAAGGAGGTTGGTTTAAATGAAGTCTTAAAATGTTACGCCATGTATCTGTAGTCTAAAAGAAGGTCCATTCCTCAGAATGTTCTCCCTGTCCATTTATACAGTTAAATGATTTTTTTGATACAGTACCTACTAAGAGGATTCTGTTAAAAAGAATGTATGTTGTCAAATGAAGCATTGTTTTCCCAAAGCTATGCTGTAGGGAAGGTTCTGCTTTTGGAAATGTCAGCTCAGTAGCCATTGACCTGTTTTTCATATCTGAACATGACCTGATGTATTCACAGGCTTTTTCAGCTGGAGCAGAAAGAGCTTTGTCAGTATCAACTGTAATAATTCCTTTGCAAGATGAAATAAATATTAATGATATAGTAGCGGATCACACTGTTTCATACAGTGATGGTATTATTGGGGCTAAAATGGTCACTGAATTGTGGTTTTAACTGTTGTGTTATTGCTAAATGAAAACAGTCATCATAGTGTTTGCTGAGGTGATAACCACTTCTAGGAAAATATTATTTGTGAATGTTACTTACTGCATCACTACTGTAAAAGGTATATATATATTAAAAAATTACAAGATGCCATGTTTCTTTAGGAAAATAAATTTTTGAAATAGACTACTGTGGGTATGTAATGTAATTCTTCAGGGCTTTTTATCTTACAGTGTATAAGCTTTGACCACAATGCATACACACTTCAATAAATAGTTCCAATGTAAAAGAATGCTTGGATAATATAAGAAAATACCCCTGAAAGGCAGAGACCAGAACCCCAATGGACTGGTGGTTGATAGCCATATGTTCTGACAGCCTCTGCAAAAGATCCCTAAGGTAATTTCACATACACTTGAAGTGGGTAGAGGTCAATCAAAAGATGCATTTTCATCTTCTGAGCTGCCCACTTTCAT